AAAGAAAATTACCCAAAAAAAGAATTTTAAGTAGTTAATTAATACTAATATCGATATATTTATTTTCAAAATTTTATAATATATTCAAATTTATACTTTATTAAAAATAAATCATATAACCCGTATTATAACATCTACAAAGACAAAATAAAACGAAACATTTAAATCGAGATATATCTCGCTGCATTATGCGAACATCATTTTAGTCTTTTTAAAATTGGAGCTATATAAGTAAAATATTATACGTCTCTCTAACTAATGCTTTGAAATAAAGTAAATAATGATTTTAATCATATTTTATTTTAACAGATTTTTCAAAATTTTATTCAAAATATAGAAGAGAGGGTGTGATTTCTTTATTATATTCAACCAACAAGAAAATTTGGAATCAAATATCTAGAAGAAAGAAAATCATCTTTCACTAAATTAATGAAATATTTTAATAATATTATGAATGTTATAATCTTTAAATGTAGAACATGTTGAATTTGAATAAATTTTTTTACGAATTGATTCTCTGTTTTGGATAAACTTTGAAGAATCTGTTGGAGATGGTCTTATATATTTTGATTTTCTTAAAGTTATGTTTGTCAAACTAGCTGATAATTTAGCTAGCTGATAATTTAGCTGGTGGTTATAAGTTAGTTGATAAACTAACTATGTTTGGCAAAAACTAGCTGATAAGCATATAAAATGACAAAAAAATGACATCTTAAAAAATTAGGCAATTATAATATTTTATAATATAATTTTAAAACAAATATATAATAATATAATGTATCAATACAAAAAAATAGTAAAGAAAAATTAAAATAATGCAATGTGTTATGTAAATAATTTTAAATTGATTATTATGTATATTATAAATTTGGATTTGTTAAAATAAATTTTAGAAAAAGTTACATCAATTTATGATTTTAAATGACCATTACATGTAATATGAATAAAAATAAAATTGATCAACCTCACATATCCTAATTAATTAGTATTCTATCAAAAACTATAATTAATAGCTAAATTCAATATTTTATTAAGATTATTTAAAACAATTTTATTATTTGTATATACTATATCATAAAACATTTGGATAGAACTCTTAAAAACCTTTTCTAATGCATCAAATCTATACTATATTATAAAATATTTGGCAAAAACTCTTATAAATCATGCATGAAGTACTATTTATTGATTCATATTACTTAAAGGGTTAAATGCATGAAATAACAACCTACTTTCATCAATTTTTTTATTATAGCATTCTACTTTTGTTTTTCTTTATTACAATAATGTGCTTTCAAATTATTTTTTATTAAGACATTGTACTTTAAAAAATCTAATATAGCAATGGATAACCTATTACCTTTTAAACCGGTTAACCCCTTATATTTTATTTGTTTGTGTGGCTTTAATAAGGTGATGCGGATGACACATCATTTTGATGACTTAATTAAAATAAAAATAAAAACGTATTTCAAATTATTAATTAGTGATTTTCATTTTTCATTACTATGATTTAAAAATCATTTAATTATTTGACTTTTTCTTATTAAGTTGCATGCAAATTAAATATTTAAAGTAAAATATTTCTTAAATAAATATGATACATTATTTTCGAGATATATTTTGTTTGTAAAAAAGGTAACACTTCTTATTTTAGGTTGTTAAAAAAATACATATCTTTTAAAGTTCTCTTTAAAATGTTAACGAAATAAATTGTAATCTACAAGTTTTTAATATTGTTATATTAATAAATAATTCAAAAAAATCTATTATATGTCAAGTAAAAGTTTTTGAACAAATATAATATATTCTTTAAAAAATAATATTTTTTTGGTAACAAAAGGAACAATTCTTATTTCCTTTTTTCAAAAAACACATATTTTAAAAAAATATTAACGAGATAAGTTGTGTTTTTACTATGTTTATTAAAATTGGTATATTAATGAATAATTTAGAATTTTTTTAATTCATTTAATATAATTATTAAATAACATGTAAAATATCTAAATATTAAAATTAAAAGTGCAGTGTTTAATAAGTTTTAGTAGATGTTATAATAAATTAATTTTGAAAGTACAATGTTGTAATAAGAAAGTCACATCACTATAGTACATGTGGACAACCTACGTAGATAAAGAGGTGGCATGGAAACCTTGTATAATGGGTAAATTTAAATCAAAAAGTTACACAATGCTATAATGAGTAAAATTTTCAAAGTACAATGTCCTAATAAAAAATAGTTTGAAAGTACATGGTTGTAATATAAAAAACTAGAAGACAATGCTATAATAAAGAAATCAATGAAATTAGATTGTTATTTTGTGCATTTTTCTCTTAATTAAAATTCAAGATTACAAGTAAATTGTGCGTGTATATAACTTATTAAAGCTTCATGTTTGAATTCGTGTAACTAATTGTAAATAACATAATCAAATAGAGGATAATCATCTCATTTTAAAAATAAAAAATATATAAATAATTAGGATAATCATTAAGTTATAACAAAATATTTAATTTTTATCTTTGTAAAAAAAATATTATTAAACCAAAAATCAATAACTTCGTTATTAAACCTAAATAAAATTATAATAAAAAATAAATTAAAGAAATTAAAGGAAAAAAAAGGAGAAATTTTTTATAGTTAGTTTAATACTAATATCGATTTTTTTAAAATTTTTAGAATATCTTCATATTTATATTTTATTTAAAAATAAAAACATTATCATTTTTCTTAAAACCGTATTATAACATCAATTGAGACAAAATAATGAAACAAAATATTAAAATCGAGATATATCTTGTTGCATTGCGCGAGTACCTTTATAGTATTGTTTGATGATTAATATTACTTAAAATTCAAGATTACAAGTAAACATTAGTACAACCTTTAAAGCTATATATTTGAATCCATATAAATAACTGATAAACATAATCAAATACAAGATAAACATTTCATTTTATATATAAATAATCTAAAATGTAATCAGGATAATTATTAAGTTATAAAAAAATAATTAATTATTATTTTTATAAAAACATTATATTATTAAATCTAAAATAAATTAAATTATAATAAAAATAAAAATACTTTTTGTAATCGACTTAATAACTTCTTCAATAAACGAACTATGGAGATAGATTCAGCAAAATTTGTTAATGACTAATTCGTGCAATATCGAATCCAGAATGCAGCAAGCATAGTGACAGACAAGCGATAGAATGTTAGCAGGAAGTAGTGATGGCCAAACACCAGTCCCAGGCCGGTCCCAAACTATTTCTAAACCGGCCATAACCGGTCCCGGTCGAAAATGGGAAGACCGGTCAAGATGTTTGACAACCGGTTATGGGCCGCCAGTCCCAGTCCCGATCCCAACCGGTCTCGGCATTAAAAAATATTTTTTTAATTTTTTTAATGATATATATTTTTAATACATTATAAAATTTGTCGTACGTATCACTCAAATACACTTTAAAAATGCGTTTTATTATAATTAAAGTTACATTGTCTTAATACATTATAAAATTATTTGAAAATACATTTATTCATCAATTATCATCGGTATCCCATGTCAGATTGATTTGAATAATTCTGGTGTATTGAATTCTTCTAATAGCCTCTTGGTCATCAAGGTCATCAATGTCGAGTTCCTCATCATCGTCATATTGTGAGTAAGTGTCGTCGGTATCGATAGTTGGCGGTCTGCTTATTCCCATGGTGATTTCATTTTCTTCCAAATTTTCTTTCACCGCTTCAATATCCATCTCTAACGATGCCGTGTGTTGAATTCTATCAACGCTATCCAAATAATCTTTCAAACAGATGTCACACTCCACGGACTCCGAATTTAGTCTTGTACGTCGTATGGAAATGATCCTGCCACTAAGAGAAAGACAAACTTCGAAGCTACGATACTAGCTTGCATTGTTAGTATATCACATGCGATGCACGCTAAAACCGGGATTTAGGTTGTTTTTGTTTCCAAAAATCTAATAGATCATTTTTTTCAAAATATTTGACATCATTTGCGGGCATGCAGCCATAAAGTTAGTATGCACATACATATTTAGTTCATCCAAATCGTTATCAAATCGATTTTGCATTGTGTCTTTCTTTTTCCATTCGTGAGAACCACAAAGTTGTAGTGGTTTCAAATCTCGGACTTTCGTTTGTGTTCGACGAGAACTTGGGCAACTTGTTCGTTTGATACATCATATTGTTCACCGGCCATTTTGTAAGACAAAGAGAGAAAGAAGTGCGAATTGTGAAGTGGAAACGAGAAATGAATACGAGTCGAATTCACAAAATATAGCGAGACACCAAGAATTGTGAATGTTTTTTTTGTGTTTTTTGCGAATTGAGAACTTGGTATGTAAACCTCTCAACCAAGATACATATTTATAGTGTTTAAAAAGCAAAAAAACCCCAAAAAAACAGTCAGAAAATGGTCAAAAAACGGCTAATTAACGGTCAAAAAACGACTAGTTTTTGAAATTTTGAGCTGGGCCGGACCCGTCCATAACCGGTCCCGGTCCCACAAATCCGCCAAAAAGTACATCCAGTCCCAGTTTTTGGTCTCATAATCGATCCTTACAGGTCCCGGGC